GTCATCTTGTAACCTTATTGGATGACATCGAAAACTCAAGAAGATTTGCAATTGAAACATTATATACAGCAAAGCATCCTTTAGATGCTGAGCTAATAGAGTGCTCTTCTTGATTTACTAATGAGATAAAGTCAGTGGAAGAATAATAGCAAATATGCACTCAGAGTGTATTTCCACAGCTTTCCTTTTCCTTTGGCTCTTCATTTTATTACTGAATTGGATGGCAAATCTAAATAACCTTGGAGCCTGCATCAGCAATTCTATAGCTGCTCAAAATACATGTTGTCCTGGTATTATTTTATTTTTGATCATAACCTTTTTTAGTTTCTGAAGTAAATTTGAGGTTATCTCACTGTTGATCATTCAAAATACCTGAATCTTCCTGAAAGGAGAGAGTGTCCTAGAAACATCAGGGTCAGATCACAAAGCACACAGATGAGCAAGAGTTTCCCAGGCCGGTCATAATTTATTACCTTCAAAAGTATTGTGTCTTATTAAGACACTGTTGGTTACATTTTGGAGAAACATACCAAAGCTGATTTAAACAAAAACCATGAGTGTTATTAGGTGAACAGAGAGGTATCTTCTGGAATCCAAGGACAGGGATGATTCATTCCCCTAGGTAGATTGAATCTAGCTGGAAAGTAATCAGAAATGTTAGATGTACTTTTTGGGTTTTTTCTTTCTACACATTCTTGCTGCACACTGGCTTCTCCTGCTTCTTGGTGATCTTAGCAAAACTTTGCCACGACATCACTCCAGAGTTTATGTAGCTTAGTTGTAAACACGCATAGCGACCAAGTGGTTGACTTTGAATCCTGATTTTAAATGTCACAATGTAAATGCTCTTTATTATGAATATATTTGCCTTTTCAAAATCATCCGGTTTAACTTTTCTGAAGGCAACTTATTTAGAGATTTTCATCTTATGATATTCAGGGATTCAGCATTTTGATTCATGTAATTTTAAAATAGTAAAACAAATGTAAAGAAAATGTGACTGAAATATTTGAATTAGCTCTAGTTTGATGAGCAAAGTGCTTGAATAATGTGCATATTTAACATACCAATATTTATTTGTATATTCATTTCTGGTTTTACATATATTTGTAAATATTTATATATTCAGAAAAATGTAAAAATAAAGTATATTGAATGCAGGATTGTGGCCATGTAAATGAATGTTAAACTATGAACAATTGGATTTAAAAAAATGATAAAGGTACATTGAGTTTGTTTTGGTAAGAATATGTGACCATTAATCTCTTCAGAAACATAGTACTAAAATATCCTTTGTAAACATGGCATTTATTTGTTACCCTCATTACTATGTAACTCAAATGACATTTATCCTTGAATACAATTCTACACATTTGAACAAAGATATAGTTATTCCCCCAACATTAACATAATTTGTATAATTTTAAAATGTTTTGTAATTAATGCTTTTGAAGTCCCAAGTTCTATACACAGAAGAGTGTTAGACATTCATCTATTGATCCAGAAACTCTCATGAATTAGTATATTTTCTTAATAATCAATGCAAAAGAAGTCATGGATTATAGCTGTAAAATTATAGAAAGAAAGATTTGGAGATAAACCATATTTGCAACTGGTTGATGTTTTAGCATTTGCTAATTTACAAAACATACTTAGGTGGTTCAATAGTAATCTTAATACAGAGAAAATCAAAGTTCAAGATCCTTCGCAATTAAAATGTTAATCATGTTACTTCAGGCAATCTAATTATTGTGAAGAAAACAGGACATCTGCATACAGAAGTCCTGAGAAGACCCTAAGCATTCACCTCTGGCTGATCTCTAGGCTCAATGCCAGCAGAAAATGAAGCCTAAGATGGAATTTTACTGGGCTTGGCTAAGTATTGAAGGGCTGTCCCAACATAGGGCCAATCTGCCAAGACTGGCAGAGTGTTTTCTTATCTTCCTTTTAATTTTTTCCTATAGATATTTAAAGAAATCTATGTCCAACTTCTTTTTTTTATATTCTTCTCTCTCTCTCTCTTTCTCTCCCTCTTCCTTTCTCTTTCTCCCTCTTCTCTCTTGGCTACTGGAATCCAAAAAATCTGTGAAAACACTAGCTGAACACAAGCTGAAAGAACAGATAATTCAGAGACCACATATGAGAAAGAATACAGACTTAAAAAATACTATATGAAAGTCAATTAACAATGAAACAGCCACAGCCAATAGCAATCAACAAAAACAAATACTGAAGAAGGGAAAATACAATTTCTAGAGTCACCATATTATAATATTCAAAAGTTTAGTTTTAAACAAAAGAATATGAATTATGCAAAACATGAAGAATGTATGGCCCATTCACAGAAGAAAGTAACACAAACTGTTCCTGGAAAAGGACAGATTGGGATTACTAGACAAAGACTTTATATCAACTGTGTTAAGGAAACCATAGATAAAGATGTATAGGCAACAGACGAAAAGTGTATGAACAAATAGAGACTATAAATAAAGGGAAAGAAATTATAAAAGAGAACTAAACAGAAGTTCTGGGGCTGAAAAGTTTGATAACCAAAATGAAATAATCACTAGAGGATTTCAATAGCAGATTTGAGTAGGCAGAGGAAAATGTCAGTGAACTAGAAGATGGTCAATAGAAATTATCCAGTCTTAGGAACAGAGAGGAAAAATGAAAATAACATACAAAACCTAAGACTTATGAGAAACCACCAGTGAATCGACAGTAACATAATCGGAATCCTGGAAGGAGAGAAAAGAATGGGGCAGAAAGAATATTTGAAGACATAATGACTGAAAACATCTCAAATATGATCAAAGGCATATATCTATTCTTTCAGGAAGCTAAATAAACTCCAGAAAGGATGAATACAAAGGAATCTATACCAATAATTATAATCAAATTGTTGAAAGTCAAGGACAAAAGGAGAATCTTGCAAGCAGCATGAGAACAGTGACTCATCAAGAATAAGAAGTCCTCAGTAACATTAACAGCAGGTGCCTCATCAGAAGCCATGGAGGGTAGAAGGGAGTGAAATGGCATTTTTTAAGTGCTGAAAGAAAAGGGAGAAAAAAACCTGTCAAACAAAATTCTGTATGTGGCCAAACTATTCCTCAAAAATGAGGGAGAAATTTAAAAAAAAAAAAAAAATGAGGGAGAAATTAAGATGTCCTCAGATTTTAAAGAAACAGAAAACCAAAGGAGGTCTTTGCAAGTACACCTGCCCTAATGAGAAATGAATGCTAAAGGGAGTTCTTTAGGCTGAAATGAAAGGATACTAGACAGTAACTTGAAATCATATGAAGAAATAAAGCACTCTGGTAAGGGTAACTATATAGTAAATAGAAAGTCTGATATTACTGTATTTTTTGGTTTGTAACTCTTCTTTTTATTTTCTACATGATTTAAAAGATAAATACACAAGCCAGTAGTTATAAATCTATGATAATGTGAAAGCAGTGTATAAGGATATAATTTGTGACTGCAACAACATAAGGAGATATATGTGAAAGGAAATGGATAAACTTCAAATGCACATTTCCAAGTAAACGAAGACAATCTGAAAAGGCTTCTGTATGATTTCAACTATATGACATCCTGGAAAAGGCAAAACTATTAAGATAGTAAAATGACCATGGCTGCCAGGTATTAGGGAGGAGAGAGAAATAAATAGGTGGAGCACAGGACATTTTCATGCAGTGGAACTATTCTATATGATATTATAATGGTGGATACGTGTCATTACACATTTGTCACAACTCAAAGAATGTATAACACCAAGAGAGAACTTGAATGTATACTATGGATTCTAGGGTGACAGTGATGGATCAGTGTAGGTTGATCAATTGTAACAAGTGTACCACTCTTGTTTTGATAGTGGGATACATATGCAGAAGCAAGGGCTATTATGGGAAGTCTATATATCTTCTGCTCAATTCTGCTGTGAATGTAAAACTGCTCTAAAATACCAAGTTTATTAAAAAATATACTATGTAAAGCCAAAATAATGTTTTACGAAGTTGAACTAAAACTACAGAGACAAATTGTTATATTTTATTTAGAGTTTTTGTCACTTGCTTTCTGGGGTTTTTTTGGTAACAAGAAGTGAAGGGTTTCATGCAGACTAAGGGTAGACGAGGAGGAGAAGCCATGCAGAGAAAATGAAGACTTCTCATGGAAGAAGATGATGGTTTATACTCACCTCAGGGCAACACAGCGAAAGGGTGAAAATGCAGCTTTCCTAGATTTAACTCGGAAAGCCGAACGTAGATACCCTATTGTGAGAGAAATGAAACCATCTTGCCTCTCACTGCTGTGAGCCTTTTTTCTGTAAAATCAACATCAAGTTGAAATTAGAAATATACCAGGTTGGAGGATTTTGAGAACAGGGCCCTTTTTCTATAGCAAGACAAAAGGCATTCTTTACACTGAGTTTACCTTGGGAACAGTATATTCTCAATAATCACCGCAGTGACGCGCACCCTGGCCTTGTATACAAGAAATCGAATCATTTCTAAAAGGCTAACAAGCCAGCAATAAATTCTTTTGTCAAACATGATGTCAGAGTGGTGGGATTTGACGATACAAACTTTGGTGTTTACCAGTGGTTTCTTTTCCAGATACAAGTGCCTACTGGGTCATTATAACAGCAAAATGCTTAAGAAAATGTAGAAATACATAATTAAGGAAAAAGCTGACAGTTATCTTTCTCTTAGATTTACACAGCTGGTTCTTGGAGCAACAGAGGACCTCTTGCATCAATTTGAAGTTGATTTCAATCAACAGTGATTGCCCAGTCTGGACCATTAAGTGCATAAGCTGATTTCAGAGAAATGAAATATGATGGATATAGAAATCAGGGTAGGGAAGTTAAAGCACAGCCGGAAGAAATCAAGGGTCCTGAAGTAAATAAACCCATTTACAACTGTTTGCTAATTAGCTTTAGCTTTTTTTTTTTCTTTTAAGTTCAGCAGTTTTGTTGATTGTTCTTTTCTTCTTTACAGAGCCTGAATCTAGAGAATCTAAAATGCCGTGCATCCTAAGAAGCATGTAATGGTAAACACATTCATCCTAGTAGCACTCCCCAAGTTAAGAAAAATTCTGCATATACACGGAAGTAAGAGAAGGGAGAACAGGGAAGCACAGAGGTGAATACGGAGGGTAGGGGGCACTTAGAGATTCGGGAGTTAAGGAAATTTTGTTCACTTTAGTATAATGCTTTCATTTTCCTCATAATCTGAAATCTGAGTGTCTTTTTTAGAGCCAATCAGGTTTCTTTCCTCCTTACACTCTTACTGTTTTCTTCAAACAATAGGGTGCAACAGTTTAGAGATTCCTGAAACCTATCACCTTTTTATTAACAACCCAAAACAGCAAAACTAGAAAATGGAAGGCATTAGGAGTTTGGAACTTGAGTGTAATGTGAGACTATATGTACACAAGTTATTCTGGTCACCCTATATATTTTGCCCTATTCCTAAACAAGCTTAAAACGCCAATAGAAGAGAATGAGGATGCGCAAATTAGGTAAAAGACAACAGAGACAAGGAGAAACAAAGATATTAAAAAAGAGTGACTGTTTAGATGGCAATCTTTGTATTTCCAACTGAACAGGAAACTATCAAGTACTTTAACATACGTAAGAATTAGAAGATCCATTCTTTTTCTTTCTTTCATCAAAGAGTTTGTAAACTATTTAGTGGTTTACAAGAAATCACTTTGAGTACTTTTATATCTGTGCATGACAGATTTTTATATCCTTCCAGATATTTCCTTCACTTCTTTGGAAGAGATAGTGATTCTTTATTTCTATGCTAATATGCTGTTCTTAATATCCTGTTTATGCTCCTCAGATCACTGAAAGTTCTTAGTCTGTGATTTGTTATTTATGTAATGTGGAGCATATGTGTTTAACTAAAGCCATAATTTTAATCTTTATGTTGCATAATTATAACGCAGTTTTGGTTTAATAAACCATAAAATCTTGCATAGCATAAGGTATAGGCATATTTTAGCAAAATATACTTGTGAATCTTCACTGAACATTCAAAATATGAATTCAAAACTTGCAGTGGGATTGCAGCTCTACTGAAATGAACTCAGATATATGCAAAAAAATTCTTTTTTCTTTCCTCCAGAGCTGAGCTGATCTCTTTTGTAAGCCATCACAGAGCTCTGTAGTGGAGAAATGTGTCCTTGCCATTTTAAATAATCTTTTGATTAAACAATTCTTCTTTCACTATAAATTATTCTTTTGGACAACTGGATATGTGGTAACTCAGAGTTCCATCCTTTCTGTCTCTCTAAAATGGCAGATACATATATGAAGTGAATCACATGACTAGTGATTGGTACTGACTCTTGCCTGGGAACTTAAATAGAGGGGTGTGTGCCAGTCAAAACACCTACACCTGGTCTCTGGTCTCTCCACATTATCTTTACTTCCTTAAACGTTCATTGCTGAGTACAAAGTTTAAATATTCTAAGAGGGAGAAGAAAGACAGAAGGGGCTCTGCCTTTTTGAAGCCAGCCTTGAAATTTATAAATCGTCATTTCCCTGACACTGATTAATTAGAAGCTAGTCATTAAGACCAGGTCATACACAAAAGGAGGGAAATTAGAATCCATCTTTTGGTGGGGAGAAATGCCAATGAGTTTGCAGGCATGTTTTAACATTATCATAATCTGTCTTATTCTTCCCACATGTAAAATATACTTACCCCTTTCCCATGATCCCAAGAAAGTCTCATTTATTATGGAATAATGTTCACCTTAAAGTTCAATATTTCATTGTCTAAATTAGGTCCGGAGGTGGATGAGTCTTTTCATGCACAGTTGCTCCAGTACAGCTCCTCCAGGACAATTCCCCTGTTTCCGAAGACCTGTGAACTCTAAAAGCGAGTTACCTGCTCCTCCCACATCCCCCCACCACACACGCAATTCAGGACAGGGAGACTGGCTGAGGGTAACTGCTATAGACCTTCCCACTCAAAAAGAAAGGGAAGTAAGGCACACAAAAATCTCATAAATGTCGCAAATTTGAAATCCAGCCAAGACCATGCTGCCAGTTTCTTGATATGGGTTCAAGCTTATGGCCTGTGAATGATTCTGGACGGCTCTTGGATCCACCTTTAAGGTTTTTGATCCTACTGTCTGAATTCTCATTTCTTTTCCATTAGAAATAGCAGAATGGCTTTCTCTCCATATCTTGCCCATACTAGTCGAATGGTCCAATAGGCTCTTTTTATTTTGTTCTGCCTCTGTCCCTCTTAGTCCAAGCTGGCAATGTTTCTGTCAATGTATTTTCTTAAATTTTTTGCAGGTTTTCTATGAGTATTAATAGTATTCATTCCACTACAGAAACATTAAACTGAGACATATTAAAATGCTGAAGAGTTTCTTTGAGCAAACCTCGATTTGAATCAACCAATGGAAGCCCCTACGGAAAGGTTAGGAGGGCCCCACTGACAGGAGCTAGGGGCAAGATTTTTATATAGAAGATGTGGAAGCAAAGCAAACAAATTATTTTATTGATTACAGCTTAAGCAGTCACCTTATTTGAGAAAGCCTAGTTGGCTGGGATTGGTTGTTCTTAATTTTCACTTTCTTGGATTTGAGACATTGACTCTGGCTTGTGTTTCTGTTCGGCTATGTAGGCTAGCAATGCATTAGAGCCTCCTGAGTCTAAGGCCCTCCTTGTTTAATTATAACTTTAACACTATCTTTGGCTCCCCGTAAGGTTGGAGGAGAAAGTCCTCAGAATTTTTAGAGGCTCTATTATTTAAAGAAGAGGATCAGTGTTTAGAGGGACTGTTGTCTGTTTGAAGTACCATAACAAGTATTTCTGTGGTCATAACAGAGGGTGGTATAGTCGAACTCTTACTGTCTTCTTTAGACTATATTTTCCTGACAATGCCTTAAATTTGATCTCAGCTCAGAAAATATTTTTAACTTTTTAGAATCTTTTGCTAACTGTAGACTGTGTGGATGACAAATGGCTTTATTGTCAAACCCTGAAAGTTCTGGGCCCCTTATGCTAAAAAAAAAAAATTGTTTTCTTTATCCTTTCTCTCTTCTTTCATGTTTTACTATGAGCAACCAGGAAAAGCCAGATGACACTTTAACACTCTGTCTGGAATGTTCTTAAGTAGATCATCAGGTTCATTTTTCCTATTTTTCATGTTAACAAAGGTGACGGGATCGTTAAAGTTTCCATCTTCCAATAACATTTTTCTCACCTTCCTTTCATCTCCCACCAACATCCTCCTAAAATGCCACCAAGCTTCCACCAACAGACTCTGAGGCTTTTTAGGCTCTCACTTACACTCTCCTCGATGTCCTTCCAGTTTCTCCCACCACCTGGGCCTAAGCCATTCTCACCTGCTCTAAGAGTTTTACTATACCAGGAGTAGCACCACTGCTGGTACCCAAATCTGTTCCAGGTATGTATTGGTGTGAAATAAACTAGTTCAATATTCAGTGTATAGAGAAAAAACATTTTTTAATCACAAATCAGCAATTTAGACAGAGCTTTGAGAGTACAGCTTATTTTTGCTTCACTCAGCATTAGGAGAGGATCACTAGATGCCAGAAGTTGGATGCTGGAATGATCTGAAGGCTGATTTATTTACATATCTCCTGGTGGATGTTGGCTGTAAATTGTTAACTAAGATAGTGCTATCGGGAAATATGACACATGTCCTCTCCGTGTGGCTCGGGCAGCTCATACTATGATGATTGGGTTGCCAAGATGAACATCCCAAGAGAAAGAATCAGGCCTTTCCTAACCTAGCATCAAAAGTCAAGCAGTTTCTCTTGTGCTAACTCTATTTATTAGCAGAGGTTCATAAAAAGTGACCTATATTTAAGTGGAAGAGAATTAAACTGCACTATTTGATGAACAAATATCAATGAATTTGCAGGCATGTTTTAAAACCACACTCCTAATTTTGACCATAATATGATTCTCTCTTTTATACTTCCAATCTTGGTTCATGCTATGCTAAGTAGCATAAAGGATTTAGAAAAAACTTCTGTCCATTAAAGTTTACCTTTGAGAGACTTCAGATATCTCTCTTTTTGCAATTAAATTTAAAACTTGACCTATTCTCTCTTTTTGTGTTTCTGCTGTAGCAATTAAAATAACCACAGCACATTTCCTTCAGATAAGCAGATGGTGCTCAGAGAGATGAGCATGTAACAGAAATGAAGGGGATACGTACACATTAATATATTTCAATATATATTTCTCTTGTTACAATCCAAGCACAACCCTCAAAAATATGACAGAAAGGAAAAAAAGTAGGGATGAATAAATGAATGTCAGAACCTGTGGATTGATGTTTTCCTGGGATCTACAGTTTCCAGATAGGTGAAGAGTTGGGATACTAGTGTGAATCAGAGGAACTGATTTTAAGACCCTATTTCAAGATATTGTAAAAATGACAGTATGAAGCAGGTAAAGGGTTAGATATGCAGATCTTTGAAATGCAAGAGAAAGTTCAAAAATAGTCGAATGCATATAGTCAAGGTGTCAATGTAATTTTATGGAGGAAGGACAGTTTTTCAACAAATGTTGCCAGAACAATTGGATAGCCATATTGCAAAAATGAACTTTCATCTCCTTCAAGTCACACTCACACACAATGACAGCAGGTAGAATATAGATCTCAATGTAAAAGCTAAAAGCATAAGCCCTCTTAAAAAATAAGTGACTATATTTGTGATATTGGGTTAGGTGAAGATTTCTTATATGAGATAGTAAAAGCATTAACCATAAAGAAAAAAATTAGATCTTATTAACATTAAAAACTGCTGGTCATTAAAAGACTGTGTTAATAAAACTAAAAGCTAAGCCATATTTATAATACATTTATCTGACAATCAACTTGTATTCAGAATGTGTAAAGAAAACTTACAAATTTGTAACAAAACAAAATACAAACACATTTGTTTAAAACGTGAGCAAATGATTTGGATCTCTCTTTTTCTGTAGCTATATATATACAATTTGTGCATCCACTAATGTGTTGATGGACATTTGTGTTGCTTCCATCTTCTGAAATAGCGTTGTTGTGAATATGTGTGTACATCTATTTGTTTGAGTACCTGTTGCCAATTATTTTGCATATATGCCTAGGAGTGGACTTACTGGACCATATGATAATTCTACGTTTAACATTTTGAGGAAACCACAAAATAGCAGATGAAGCATTTTAAAGTCTCACAAGCAATGTGTTAGGGTTCTAGTTTCTCTACGTTCTTACCAACACTTGCTATTTTCTAAAAAATTATAGCAATCTTAGTGAATGTGAAGTGATATTCCATTGTGGTTTTTTTCAGCACCCTAATAACTAATTATTTTGAGCATCTTTGCATGCACTTATTGGCTATTTGTATATTTTCTTTGGAGGAATGTATATTCAAGTCCTTTGACCATTTTTTAATTGGGATTTTTGACTTTTTGTTGTTGAGTTGTAAGGATTCTTTATATATTATGGATATAGGACCTTATTAGAAATATGATTTGTAAATATTTTCTCCCATTCTGTAGGTTCTTTCTTTATAATGTCGCTGATGCACAAAAGTTTTTAATTTTGATAAAATCCAAATTATCAATTTTTACTTTTGTTGCTCATGTTTTTGGTGTCATATCTAAAATTCATAGCCAAATCTAGGTGATGAAGATTTATTCCTGTTTTCTAATAAGAATTGTATGATTTTTGATCCTATATCTAGGTTACTGATCCACTTTTGGGTTTGTTTGGTTTTTGCTGTGTATGGTGTGATGTAGAAGTCCCACTTCATTCTTTGGCTTGGAGAAACCATTTGTCCCAGCACCATTTGCTGAAGAGACTGTATTTCCCCACTGAATGGATTTGACACTGAGTTTCTTCTTTTTTCAGTATTGTTTGTGTTCTCTGGGGCTCCTTGTAATTCATATGAATTTGAGGATTGGCTTTTCTGCAAAACAGGCTACTGGAATTTTAATAGAGATTCCATTGAATTGGTAGGTCACTTTGGTTAGCATTGCCATTTAACAATATTATGTCTGCCAATCCAGGAACGTGAAATGTCTTTTCACGTATTCAGGTATTCTTTCATTTCTTTCAGCAATGTTTTGTAGTTTTCATTATACAATACTTTCACTTCTTTGAGTAAATTTATTCTCAGGTATTATATTCATTTGGATGCTATTATAAATGAAATTGTGTTCTTAACTTCCTTTTCAGAGGGTTAGTTTCTGATGTATGGAAGCAAAAATAATATTTGTGTGTGATGTTGAACCCTGCAACTTTGCTGAATTTGTTTATTAACTATAGTAGTTTTGTTTTCTTTTTTGGTTGATTCTTTGGGATTTTCTACATTTAGGATCCAGTCATCTGGGAAGAGATGGTTTTACTTCTTACTTTAAATTTGGATGCCTTTTATTTCTTTTTCTTGGTAATTGTTTTGGTTTTATATCTTCCAGCACAAGGTTGACTAGCAGTGGTGAGAGGAGGCACCTTGTTCTGTTCCTGACCTTAGGGGAAAACATTTCAGTCTTTCACCGTTGAGTGACGTCACCTGTGAGGTCTTTTCTTTTTAAATAGACTTTATTTTTCAGAGCAAATTAATAGGTTTATTATATTTATTAGATTCACAGACAAATTGAGTGGAAGATACAGTCTCCCCCTCCCTCTTAGGTGGGGCAGGGGGGCTAGAGTGAGCTGGAGTTGAGTATTTCCTTTCCCCCACGTGGAAGGCTAGAGTGGGTGGAATTTGGGTATTTCCTTTCTCCCATGTTGGTTAGGCTCTGAAAAAAATCCCAATAGTATGTGCTCTGGTAAAATACTTTCTTCTGAGGGCAGGTCTTGTTAAGAACATAATGGTCTGGTGTTTCGTTCTTTTTTGCCCTCCCCCTGCTAGAAGCACAAGTGGATTTTTCTCCACTACTCACTGTGAGGACCTGGTAGAACTCCTGGAGGTATAAGAAAAGAAAAGTGTGGATGATTCACTGTGACTGATTGAGTCCCCTGGAATTTTAAGTTCTCAGACATAACCACACTGAGCCTCCAGCAACTTGTCAATCACAGTTCTGGTTCCCCTGGAGGTTTCTGCTGAGGAGTTTTGCTCCAGGAAGTTGTAATTCTCTGTATTCACCTGTCTCTCTAATTTTGGGGATAGCAGTCTTCCCTGGATGAATCTTTGAAGGATCTAAAAGGAGTTCTCACTTTTTGATGGATCTAAGAAGAGTTGTTGATTTTTCAGGTTGTTCAGCTTTTTACTTGTTAAGGCACATGACAACTTCCAAGCTCTTTAAATGCTGGGCCAGAAACCCTTATTTTTTACTAGGTAGAATTTTTACTGCTACTTCCAAAAAAGACAAAGCAAAATAAAACAAAATAAAAACAAAGCAAAACTCTTGTTCTTTCTGCCCTTTTTGCACCAGTGAACACTTATTTTATTTTCCAATGCCCAAGGAGATGTTTATTTTAATTTGTGAAGACTGGTTTATTTCTCCTGACTAAGACCACTAAATTGTCTATAACTCACAAGACCCAAGCCTGTGTTTATAACAATTAAAAAAAATAAAAGTGTATATCACCACAAGATAATTAATTGTGTGATATAACAGAAAGTATCAAAGTTTAACTTTCGTAAAATTAATAGTAATCTCAGTTTATATTCTGGCAGATGGTAATATACTAGTTGGTCCTAAATTCATGCAACTCTTTTAAAAATCCCATCACTCTTTTCCCTTCAAGTAATCTCCTGGGACAGTCCTGCATAGTTGGTAAAGTGCTCAGTCTGGCCTCCCGGTGTCATCTCAACCCTCTGCACCTCCTGCTTGACCTCGTACACCCTTGTTCCTCAGTAGAGGCTACATTTTTTTCTCTCCTTAACATCCATCCTGACTCATCTCTTCTAACCTAGGCTATCCCTGGGACAGGCCCTGGCAAAATTCTACTCTTAAGTATTTTATAGCCTGCTCATCATTCAAAGCACACGTTTTCCAAGAAGATGTCTTGGGCCAATCCAAAGATACAGTTGCCTCTCTGCCAATATACACTTATATTCTTAAATTTTTATATATGTTGCAATTTATTACCAAATATTAAGATAAGCCTCATTTGTGTAGAACTGTAGATATTCTACGGTGCTTTCCAATGCATTTCCTTATGTATTTCTCACAATAAATCTAGAGTTTGTTTTGGAATTTCTACTTCAACAGATGAAGAAATTGAGTATCTGAAAGGTGAAATAATCCACTTTGGGTGACACAGCTCCTAAAATTTAAATATTTTATCTAATGATTTGACTTCTACAGATCTTTCTTTCCTGTGTCATCTTAATTTTACAAATGTTAAGACTTACTTCATGTTCAGTTAGATAGATGAATGTTTCCATGGAACGTAAGAGGGAACCCATGAAATGGCTCTAGCATTTTAACTATTTTTCTGTCATCTATCACTGGAGCTCATTCCAACATTGCCAAATGTACAATTGAATAAGTGAATTGTTTGTTCCAGAAATCCCCTGTTAAATCACTCGACAGAGAACCTTCATCAATGTAATTGTTATATTTAGTTGACAGAAATTAGTTACTAATTTAGCAATGATTTGAGAGACTCAGCTATAGGACATGCATGTTATGGTAGAGGTGAAGGAAGTCACATCAGGATGTGGGGATGGTACTATCAGTGGCACCAAAGTGAAGTGTGGTGAAAGTGGCACCCGGACAACATCAACTTCCGGTTAGTAGAGGGAAAATAAATAAAAGGCACAGGAAAGAATGTTGAAGATAATATATACAGGTCTTAAAATTCTGCCTAGGACTAGCCTAGGGTTGGTGCTCATGCACACACACAAAAATATTTTAAGTATATCTTTAATATATTTTGTACATGATTACTATATTAATATATAATTAATGGATACATTTTATATAAGTTTATATATAATTACATACCATATATATTACATATTTTTATAAGAATTAAAGGGACAGTATTTACTATGTGATAGAATTGTTAGCAAATATTTTGAAATTAATAAGGTCATTAAAAATTGGAATTGGAAGAAACTCTAACAATGTATTTATCCTCATCATTTTCCAGAGAAGGAATGAGTATGCCAAATTAAGCTAAGTGAATTTTGTCAAGGTCAGAGGGAGGACAAGAACCAAAGATTATTTTATTGCCTTTTGCATTCTATATGCTAGCCACGTTAAACTCTTCACTGATGAATGCTTCATGCGTTTCACACTTCTCTGTCTTTGCACTTGTCTCACACTCAGATGGATGGTCCTCATGTGGTATCTATTTATCTTTTAATATGTAGCTCAGTGTCACCTGCAAAAGTCTTTCTGAGTTCTGTTCTCTCTGCCTGAACGGAGGATCCCCTTCAATTTCCGGTTTTGACAATATATGTGTATTTATCTATCTGTCATCTACCTATATTTATCTATATTTGCCTTTATACTTTTCTGTTCTTCCTTGTGTAGTTGAATTCTATGAGAAATTTAACTGTATCCTAATCATTTTTACATTGTTAGTGTCTCCTTCAGTGGCTAATTCACAGTGAGTGCTCAATAAATATTTGTTGAAGGAGCAATTGAATGAATAGCTGCTAGTACTCTTATTTCATACACTCTAATTTTTCTCCTATTATTTCTTTTAAATGACAAAGAGACTTCCCCTTTTATAAATTATGGAATTTAGGATAGACTACATCATTTTCTCCCTACCTGCCGTATGTTAAATAGCACAATAGATACAACTATTTCTCATATTGGATTCAATAATCTTTCTCTTGACCATCTGTTATTGAATTAATTTTATGGCTACATTTCATTGTTTCGTTTTCAAAGTTATTGTCATGCTTTCACTTTTATGCCCAGTAAGGTCTCAAAAAGGGGCAGATCTATTTAGAAGGACGTATCATACTTTTCAATTGTCCTACTCCATTCCTTTATTCCAATAGCCAAATAGCCTGCCACTCTGTCTTTGACAGCTACAATTCCACAGAATATCCCTGGCTTCATGCATTATTTCTTTAGAAGCTTCTGTAAATTCAGAGCACGTCAGGAGGATTAGGCGTTTCAGGTTATTTCAGCTATTCTGCATTGAACACAAAACACGTTCATCAAATTAAATGGACATTGTCAGAGGCATAATGGAGCAATAGGCGGCTATGCAGAAAAAAAATAAGGCTAAAATCTGATATGGAAAGAATATCTTATAAAAGTTTGTCTTGCTCATTTACCAACTAGGAAAGAAAATGCAGATATTTTATGCCAGCATATGACAGCTATTTTAACTTCCCAATATCTCAACTGCTTTATTCAAACCAATTTCATTTGCCTACTCCACATTTATTTTTGGTATTTGAATAATATTCAGCAGTTTTTTGTTGTTGGAATATGCTATAAATCTACTTGAATATTGAGAAAAACTTGTGATGTGGAAGTGTTTGCCCATTCTTGTTCAATGTATTCTATTTTATGAGATCATTGTCTATTTCAGATTAGATTTATGTTGTTTCATCCATTCAGAGACATGATTTCAGTTTCTATCCATTTATCACTCCATCTATTATTTCTTAAGAAAACGGGCTCGTAAATATCTAGAATTGTATACATTTATTTGGATTAAATGATACAAAATATCTAGTGCATATGAATGTCTCTTTTGTCTTTCACACAAGCACATCTTCCCTTAGGATCAGATGATGTCATAAGGATGCCTCTTTATCCCTAATTCAAAGGATCAAGTTAAATTAGTTGCAAAAAAAATCCCTAGGCATTAGTCAGAACACACTGAGTACATAGGAATCGCAGGATCAGAGTTGCGAAGATTGTGTCTTGAATCAGAATGTTAACAGGTGCCACAGGGAAAATTTTGTGTATACAAATCTGAAATTTTGGGGGCCACTGATGTAAATGGTCAAGTAGACAAGTAGGCAGTATAATGACAGTAGAGGCCATAACAAGCAATAGATGAGGAAAATTCTCGAAGTAAAGAGACGAGTCAACATGGATACATAACATACATAAATCAGAAAAATAGAAAAGGAACTTATTATAAATGCAGAATGCTGATGTATCTAGTGTTTTTTTAACACCTTTTCTTATAGTGTAAGCCAACTTGGCATGAGCAAGTAGCCTTATTCCAATGCAGCATATTTAAATACGTAGTTTTCTTTACCGGTCTGTTAAGGACCTTGGCCAGAGGACAGAAGGAAGAAGAGACATAAGAAGGAAATGTGAAAGTAATAAAAACTAAAAGGTAATCTGAGGTGTGTAAGGGAGGCATCCAATATCAGGAGAGAGAAATCTGAGCGCTTCTGAATGAAAAAGATAGATTTCTATTTCTATTTCTATTTTTTATTCTATTGCTGTCTGTCTATATTGTCTATATGAAGTGGTGGAAAGCAAACAGTTGAAGGAGTGAGTAAGGTAGGTGAGAGGAGGATATAAATGCTCTTTATGGAGTTGATAATATGCATTATTTGATCAGTGAGGCATCACAGCTGGGAATAATAATTCAGTTGTGAAAATTCCTTCTGGTGTCAAGTCACTTAAAAAAAAGAGCTTTTCTGTTATATTAAACTCTAATGCAAAGTCGGTTCAGGTTCATCCTGCGTCTATTGGATCTTCCTTAGATCTGAACTTTTTAATCAATTGGGCAATAGGGAAAGTAGGTGTAACAGCAGTGAGACGGTTCCCTAGCAGCAGATGGCTGGCCATAACTCTGGTCCCAACAGTACAGGAGCATCAAATATTGTCTTCCCTTAACATCCTTTCATGATACATATTGTTCTTTCTTTTCCTTTCTCTTAGGTTAGAATGTGCTTCTCTTACACTGTAGAACTGTTACCTGAGTTTGTTTAAAATAACGGATTGGAGCTACCATGTTAGTATTGCAAGAAAATGTCTCTGTACTATGTTGGCCTCTAAAAAAAGGAACAACCATTTCACAGGTCAGTTACCTTTCCAATGTGCCCAATAATGAATGAAGGGCAGAAGACCCAAAACAAATTAGACATCACTATTGAATATAGCACTCTAAACCTCTTTCTAGGTGTTAATGGGTTAATAACATCATCTTTGGGTAATGCAGCATTTAATAAATTACTTTATGGAAACTAAAATCACTTAACTTGCTTAAAGATGAACATATTACTATAATAACTACTTGTACGCATACAATGTAACATATTCCTGCCCTCTCAAACTTTTATTATAAATGTACCTTAAGAAACAAAAAACTGAGAAAGTATTTAATTTCATTAATTGTGTATTCCTATATTTTCATCCATAATATTACCTATAATTTCTTTTCATCATCTTGGTATGCTTAAGGAAGTTAGGAATAATGCAAAGTAACAACATTCATCAGAACTGCCTGAATTCATTAGAATTTAAGCACTGAACATGTTGATTCATTTTAAGTTTGGAAAATTATTCAAAAATAAAAGCCAATATCAAATATCATTTATATTTAGGTTATCTTACTCGAAACCACAAAATATTACATCCGACATTTCCCATGCTGACTACCTTTTTAAACATAATCATACCAGATAGCTGAATAATGTAAGTTTAAGATTCAACATTACTCTATATCTAAAATGAGAAAACATACAGAACAACTTCATTTTTAATCTTGGGGAAAAAAGGCACCTAGACGGTTATGAACTAACATCTCCCATTAAATTAACGGCTTTACCTAATTCTTGTCTGCTGAATGCAGCTCATTAAACTTTATGCTCTTTTACAGTCATTATAGTAGCACCTTGTGAATTTTGTGTTATTTTTCTTTATGATCTTCCTATAAATCATTTGATAGGTGAAGAGGCTTAACTTACTTTCCTGAAGATAAAAATCTCTTCAAATCACTGGTCCAACATAATCTTGAAAATACTCTCTGCTAGAACCTAGAGGATTTGCATAGACATAAGGTAATAGCTCAGTCAGCTTGGGCTGCCATAACACAATATGATCAACCGGGCAACTTAAACAACAGAAATTTTTTTCCTCACAGTTCTGAAAGCTGGAAGTCTGAGATCAAGGTGCCAGCATGGCTGGGTTCTGACAAGAACCATCTTCCTGGCTTGTGCATGGCTGCCTTCTCACTGTGTGCTCACATGGACTCTCCCCCGTGGGTGTCTGGAGAGACAGAGAGAGAGCAAACTCTCCGATGTCTCTTCTTGCGTGGACACTAATTGCATCAGATCAGAGCTCCACCCATACAACCTCGCTGAACCTTAATCACCTCCGTAAAAGCCCTCTCTCTAATATAGTCAGATGAGGGAGAGGTCAGAGCTTCAACATAGGAATTTTCTAGGCAGACAATTCAGTCCATAGCAAGTAATCGTCCTACTATGCGTCACGGAAAGACTGAGATCACTGAGAAATCATCCTGGGTGTCCCTTTGGAGCAGTTCCATAATTAGTGACCCCATTCTATTACTTCAACAAATAGTTTCTATTCCAGGTACTGTTTAGGGGCCAAGTATAAATCATGAACAAAGGAGAACTAACTGTTGCTCTCTTATATTTGGTATGATACATACTTATAAAGAAAAATTTCCTGATACGAAAAGATTGTAGAATGAGGAAAGTCTTCTCTGAGAATATTTAAGTTGAGACTTAGGATGGATGGAAAGATGCTCACAATGCCTGCTGGACATCTCAGCAAATCAGAGGACCAACAAGTTTCTGAGCCAGAGCTTGTGGCTGTGCAGTCTGCAGGAGGGCAACCAGGAGCAGGAGAAGGTGGAGCCGTGCTGGCAGGCAGTCTTCCAACTGCATGTCGACCTGGAGCTGCCGGCAAGTGTTTGTTTACTGGTGTCTGCTATGCTCCTGGAGCCCCCTTGCATGGCAGTCAGGAATTTTTGGAGGACGCACACACTCAATCTACAGCAGCTATCTGTTTGAAACTTCATCTAACCTATATAGGAAAGAAATACTGAATTTGATACAGTTTAGATTTCCTTATTTTGGAGAATGACTTCATAATCTTAGAGTAAATGATAAACATCAAACTTTCAGCTGTTGAAGCCATATAATCGTGTGAAAAAAAACTGAAGAAGTGCCAGAGCCTTATAGCGTTTGCCCATGGCCCTGAAATAAAGCAGTTATAAAAATATATATATAGGGGCTGGCCCCGTGGCCGAGTGGTTAAGTTCGCGTGCTCCGCTGCAGGCGGCCCAGTGTTTCGTTGGTTCGAATCCTGGGCGCGGACATGGCACTGCTCATCAGACCACGCTGAGGCAGCGTCCCACATGCCACAACTAAAAGGACCCACAACGAAGAATATACAACTATGTACTGGGGGGCTTTGGGGAGAAAAAGGAAAAAAAAATAAAATATTAAAAAAATATATATATATATACAAAATATTGATGATGTTTGAAGTCTTATTTGTTTTTTTAAACCAGATATCAGAACAAATTTAAATTCCAAAGAAGTTATCATGAAGAACTTCATTGTTCCCTGGAATCAGTCATTATAAACAATGAATGGTACTGACAGTATGCATTCATTATCTACCTTGAAATTCTGGCAAGAACTGACGATTATGAATAGAAAGAACTGAGTTCCGTAAAACCTCTATTATGTTTAGCACCATTTGTTTATTTGTTAAAACGAAATGATAAAAATAACTGGTTTGCTATTCACCTTTTAAAGAATAGTGAACAATTCTAAAATGGGTGCAGTAAATGGCCAAGATCTCCTTTAATCTCCACCCTCCACACACTTTGACAGTGAAGAATTGATGCCTGCCCGTTTTTAGCCTGGGCTCTATTTTATGCGGTAAGTTTCAAACATCACAAATCTTCCATTCAGAGAATAAGAAGCTTGAGAGAGTGACTAAGGTTGCAATTTGGAGGTAACTACATTAAGGCAGGTTAGCAAAGGATCCTTTTAAAATTCTGTGGTTCTTATTTCCACAAGGAATGAGAAGTCCCTAGATTGAATTCTAACAATAACCTTTTATTAAATATATCTTCATTTTTTGTCCGTTTCCAAGATTTGCTCCCTGGAGGAGAAATTAAAACTGTATAATCTAAAATAGTCTGAAATAGCAGGACAGTCCTCTTTTAGTAACTTTCCATTAATTTGAAGAAGGGATCATATTGGACTTACAATCTCTAGAAGTGTGGATTCTGAAGCTCAACACTGAAAACAGGAGTTTAAATATGTTACAAGCACCAAAGAAATAAGAAATAAAGCTTTTGCCTAAACTCAATAAATGAATTAATAGAATGGGTTTCAAAAGATGAGTAACTCAGTGGGGCCTGCCCAGTGGCGCAATGGTTAATTTCTCACATTCCAGTTCGCCGGCCCAGGGTTCGCTGGTTCCGATCCTGGGTGTGGACCTATGTACTGCTTGTCAAGCCATGCTGTGGTAGACGTCCCACATATAAAGTAGAGGAAGATGGGCACAGATGTTAGCTCAGGGCCAGTCTTCCTCAGCAAAAACAGGAGGACTGGCAGCAGATGTTAGCTCAGGGATAATCTTCCTCAAAAAAACGATGAGTAACTCAAGGTAGAATCAGTCCTGTTATAATGCTTGTTTTGAAAATGAAACTTATTCCAATGCAATAGATACATTGGGAACAATTTAAGCATAGAATAAATTTTATGTTTGCTGATGTGTGATTTTCTTTATGAAAAACATGAGATGAACACAGAAAACTGCAACAAGTTGAGCTCAACAGCATAGTAATATACAAAAATACATGTGTCTACCTGCTACTTGAGTTCACCGCGTGTGTTATGTGTCCCACCCATTCACATCAGATGTTACAACTTCCGGTCTGGTTTCATATAACCCTACTTCCACCACTTCATGATAATTCAGGAGCTTCATTCTTTCTCATGCCCATTTCCACAATGAAACTTCAGGTCTTTTTCAAGGCAAAGTGATGTATTTATTGCAGTATTTATGCAGTTCTTAACGATTTAACATATATGAAACTATGTTACCATTCCTATTAAGTTCCTACTTTCCCCCCTGTAAACCCAGGGTATTTTGTTGCATGGTTTTTCATAGCCAGTACTTTTTAGGAATACATATGTAGGGTTACAGGAAAACTGACTGTAGTATATTTAATGAATTAACCAACATCAACTATGTTTGCCAGAAAAAGAATAAAAAGGATAAATAGAGTTTATACTTATCTTAGGGTCTCTTAAGAACCAAAGATTAATTAGCATCATTAAAAATAGCTGTAATGCTTATTGTCTTTGAGCTATACACTTTTCTATAAGTAGGGTATGCTTTAGTAAAAAAGTTGATTTATAAAAGCTTATTTTAAAATATGTGTAATAGAGCCAATTCTGATATTTATAAATTCCTTTTTTACTTATTTTCCTGAGTTAAACTTAAAATAAATTAAATTTAACCTTTATTAATAAGAATAGAATGTTTTAAAATAGTTTATTTACCTAAAACTCTCTATCCCTTAACATCTAACTGAATGTTCATATGCAAATGCATGTTTGAGTCTATTGGGTTCACAAATGTTATTACTTCTTTTGGGTTGGTATGATATCTGTGTTTAATACTTCTGTTTCGGATATCATTAGACATGGACATTAGAATTAGTGGCTTAAGATAACAATAATTTGTTATTTCTCATGACTCTGGGGATTAGTTGGACGATTCCTCTGTTGCTTTGCCTGTATCTTTCAGAGGGTCATCTGGGTTGGAAGGTTTCTGATGGCCTCGCTCGCTCTGGCAATTGTCACTGGTTATCAGATGGTGAGGGTTGGTTTTCCTCTGTGTGGCCTGTCGTTTTCCTGTAGGCCAGCCAGTTTCCTTACACAACACTTTGAGTGAAGCATTCTAAGAGAGCAGGCACAGCAGCTACAAGTGCCCTTAAGGCGTAGGCCCAGAAAGTGTGACTTCACTTCTGCCACATTCAGTTAGTCAAAGCAAGTCAGAGACCATTCCAGAGTCAAGGGGAGATCAGATAAACTCCACTTCTTGATGAGAGTGTGGCAAAGCCACACTGTAAAGGATCATGAGAGGAACTTTTTCAACCGTCTTTGAAAACAATCTACCACAAAATGTGTGTTGAAATGTGTGACTGGAGAAAATTGTATGACCCTTTAAAAAATAGAACCAGAAGAAACGATGGCTACAGTCAAAAGGAGTTCTGAGTTGATTGGTTAACATAAACAAAACAAAACAAAAATATAAGTAGCTCATCCAAACTAGAATTTCTGTTATCTGAGGTATTCACTTTCTTCCCTTTTTTGTAAGACCAAAAAGTTGAATTGATTTTTTCTTTTTTTCACTTACCTCTGACAGTGTGGTGAGCATAGAATCAGGACAAAAAGATTTAGTGGGGTAATCTCAATGTAGAGTGACACCAAACCACAACAAACAAATGTCCTCATTTAGAGTCTTATTTGCTGCAAAGGACAGTCCTCAGCCTCTCCTCTGCACAGTGCTGGAAGCACTGACAGCCCCTTTTATGCTTCTTTCCTCAGCCAAACCCTTTCAATTTCTCAATAAGTTAATTTTTATTTAGATATGTGAATCATATCATATTAAATTTAAAGTTATTTAAAGTCTTATACTCTAATATGACTTTGTAATTTATGCTCTTGTCCACATTGTACTTATTTCTTGGTTTAACTCTCATAAAATCAGTATTATACATTTGTTTCCAGAGTTTTTAGGCCCGTCTGAGGAAAGGCATTTCTTGTAGCCCTCATACAAACTCAGCCCCTTTTCTCACTTGACTCAGAAACCCTTGTTTAAAATGAGCAGCTATTCACACGTGGAAAGACCACGAAGCATCAAGAGACTAATCCCTAATGAAGAGTATCTATAGAATATCTGAAAAGTTGGAATAACTAGTAAAAGAGAAATCAATAGATGTTTATGTGGTTTTTTTATATTATTGGCCATGAGAGGGTAAAAAAAGACACTTCTCCATTCTATATACATCTTTAAGAACAGTAGCCCACCAAGGATTATTTATTTTTTTCTTTATTGGGTCATGGAAATATATTCCTCCAAGTGGAAATGGTATGATAGATGTTTCTGAATTCGATTACTAGGTTAAGTGGGTTTTAAAAAATATAATAATATTGAGACTCGTAAATAAGATAATTTCCCTTTATTTTTATGAAGTGACCATATTACTGGTCTGAGGGAAAATGTATTTCACAGAATGAAAGCAGTTTTATTATACAGAGTGTAGAATTTGATTTATTGGACATAGGTATAATTTAGTTAAGTATCAGGTTCTCATTATAGACTCTAATTAAAATGTGAAAATTGAAATACTATATATCATTAGTAGACAAAAATGAACTAAAATGATTAAAATTCATTCTCCTGACTTAATACACAGCCTTCCAAAAAACAGTGAACTCTGGCTGTGTACTTATTCTATAGTAATTTGGCTAGTAGAGATTGACATGCAGGGTAGTCTTTCTTTTGCTGCACAAAATCAAGTGTTGGGAGGTCCATATCTTGCTCATACATTATATAATCAGTATTCAAAATATGTATGTGAGCAATTTTTTAAGAAAATTCCAAATTATACTGTTTTATAGGTCTATTGGGCATTTTTAGAAAACAGGTTTGTATAGGCAGATTTTCATTTTCATTTTGTTTTAGATACACTCAAAAACAAGCATGTTAACACTGTTACTAATCCTGCTAGTAGTATCATCCTTAAGAAATATACTACATCAAAAAAAATTCTTGTGACATTCGGAAATAATGAACACTATTTTGTCTTTTGTTAGAATTTATCTTATCTTGACTAATTTTCTCTTAATTGTATTTGTTTAACTTGAATCACTGGAACATCTTCAGCATGTGATGAATTGTAAAAATAAGTGTCTCTACAGAGAAGTAAGTTTATAATTTGGTTTAAAAATAAGCTTATTGTCACTAAACTTACTTTATTTATATCTTTTGCCATTCCTCTACCTTGTTTTTCACATCTATTTTCTTTTGCTGTTTTTCACATCTATTTTCTTCTGCTATTTTTCCTCATAATGTTTTGTTTGGAAATTCAAGTCTCTACTTGAAATTGGCAGAAT